TATTGATACTTGTGGATAGCTACCTCAGAGTTGCTGACTTGGTCTTAAATGTTCGGGCTTCAGTCATCCTCCACGGGCAGATTCAACCACGCAAAAGATACTTTTGGGGAACAGCAGTCTATGCGACCTATCATTGTAGATAACCCAAGAAAAAAGAAAAGAGATTAGGGTGGGCAAACATTTCTCAAATATAGAGGCAAGAAGATTGATGATATTAATAGCCTTTGAACGTTGATCGAGTGATTACACACTTAATTTGAATTCAGCATACCCTATATTCGAATCACGTCGCTCGCTTATGTTAATCTCGAGGGAGATCACCCTATCATATATGAACTTATTGTAGGATGTCATTTTAGTCCCGAATTTTTCAATTTTGTCGATTTGGTTTTAAGCCTTTGCGTGAAATTTCAATGCAGTCCTCCCGGTCAATTTCCACCGCAAATCACCGACATGAAGGTCTGGTCATCACTGACCGTTCTGCGTGGCACACTGTCATGTCAGCGATTCCGGCGAAAATTGACCGGAAGGATTGCATTAGAGTTTCGCGTAAGGGTTTAAGACTAAATTGATAAAATTCAAAAGTTTAGAGCTAAATTAACATATATATATATATATATATAAATAATAGATTTCGAACTGATTTGACGAATTTCCCAATCTTCGGGGTCACGTCTGCCAACTTAGTGAAGTCTTACTGGATTAAGACGATTTACGTGCAGCTGTTGGGATTAGTGGAGCAGATACCCCCACATTTTTCCAAGAAGAAAAAAAGGAGCAATGACAGTAATAATTGGAGAGGAGTATCAATATGGTAGGTTCGCGCTCTAACTTGGTTTCCAGCTTTTCAAGATCGACGAGGACACTTCAAGCATGCCTCTCATCACGTGATGTTTTTTGCCCCAAAGCTAATGCCCAACACCTTCCCATTCTCCTTTTCCTCCATTCCTCTTTTTCCCCCCGCCAAGCAAAGTAAGATATTATTCTTGATCATACCAAATTAGATGATTGAAGCTAAGGATAGCATCATTACTCGATTGTGACCATACGGGTGCGGCTTGTGTTGTATCGAGTTACTAGAATGATAATGATCGTTACCGTAAATTCGAAATAAGTTAGCCTCTTAACTACACAACATGCATTTGCCATGGATCTATATTCAGCTTTCGCAGAAGATCCTGACCTTGTCGGTTTGATTCTAACTTCTCCGGGAGATAATACTTTCTCCAATGAACACACATGATATTGCTAATCTTCTAGACAAGATGCCCAATCTGAGTTTATACCTTTGAATTCAAATCACCGTATTGATGATAGAAAAGTTCATTGACTAGTAGTAAACGTCGAATATCTTAACACTCTCAGTGCTCCTTCCAATGTTCCTTCTTTGGATTTTCCATAAAATGACCCTGCAGAAAAAGCGATGTCTAGTCGAGTAATTATAAAATATGTAATCTACCCACCAATCTTTTACATTGATGGGGGTCTTGCAATCTTTCTCCCCCTATCCTTAACAATTTCAAGTTATGGGCCATTTGAAACAAATACTAGGTTTGCATCCTGTCATTCCGATGTCCTCCGAAGTACGTAATTTATATTTCCTTTGTGGAAGGAGATTCCAGTTTTTAATTTTCGCTACTTACAATTCTCAAGAAATATTTAAGTTTCCTCGGGTCTTTCAATTTTGAATTTCTATTTAAATTTTCCTTTAACTAGAAAATTAATCCGATGTCATTTCCAATTCTTGATATATTATCAACACAGATTAACATCGTGCTAAATGAATTCCTCTCGTTAAAATAAATAGAGAATAATCAACAATTGATCCCTTAAATTCTAATTCAGACATTTTTCGGATAATTTTGAAAATCACTATTTCAGTGCTTGCTTTAAGCTATATAGTGATTTGTTCATATCTTCAAATCACCATGGAAAAAGGCATCCAATTGACACGCCTCCCACTACTTAATTGCAGCTATTGCAAGACACATGTGCAATTAAATTTTGGCCACTGGCTCAAAAGTCTCATTGTAATCAATACCCTCTTTTTAGGCCTATCATTTAGCAACTAAACGAGCTTTATACTTTTCCATACTTCCATTGATCTCAAACTTTGTTTTATAGCACATCCAATTGGATGTACATTTTGCGGGCGTATATCCATTTTTCATGATGAGAAAATCCACCTTATACGTAAATCTCAGATCTTTCAAGTACCCCCGTTGACTTCTCAAACCAAGAATAACCCGAGCCTAAACTCGAGTGGCTGGTCCAAGTATGAAATTGTCTGTACTTAAGACTATGGGAAGTCAAACACGTATTGTGCGCCCAATCCACACACAAAAGTCATAATATCACGAGGTTTTGTCTTGGGGAAATAAGCCACGTTGCCTGCAACATTTGCTACTGGAGATTGCCTCGAACTTGGAGGACCACTGCAGCGAGAGAAAGGAATGCGACTCTGTCTAAACACAGCACCAAAATCACTGTTTCTCTTTTAATGTCGCCTGCATGAACCATCATGCCCCGAAGTAACGATCTTAAGATCGCAAAAGAAAGCGACATCAAAGTTGTCGTCCGCCTTTATGTTCCTGCATGACCTTGTTAGGGAGACATTTATTAATTTGTCATGTCTCTTGAGAGAACCCTAAGTTTTGCCTTTAAATCTTCCTGCTGGTTTTCAATTGGATACGTGAGCACGCAGGTGCATGGCCCATGCGATGCTTTCCAAACAAGTTTGGAATTTACTTCTAGGCGTATGCAATGGTTGAGTGTTGATGACGTCTACGATCTCCAGATTTGGGTTGAAGTTTGATCATAGATAGGTGCACAAACGAATGCCCCGTGCAATGCGTATGCAATGTCCATAGATATATCACAAGAGAGTTTTCATGCTCTCGACTAATCTACCCTGTACCCCTTTCGACGTCATATTCATGATCGGAGGGTCCGAGAGGTTTTTATGATTGTTCATCGAGTAATGAAAAACTTCGGATCTTATTTGTTTGCAGGGAAATGAAGCCAGACTAATGAGAAATGGGTCTTTGTTTTCCTTTTTTGACGCAATTGGGATCATTGGAACGAGGTGGAATGAAAATCTAAATTCCGAAGAACCCTAAGATATTGAACAATGTTTTCATCAAAGTGGGACCTAAAAATTGAGTAAGCATGAATAAGATTCCAGATGGCATCGATTGCAATAGTTTTAATCACTGTTGTACTTTTCCCATGGTTCATTCGACTTTATCTTATTACAGTTGCCTTGTTTCTTTTTCAACTAGGCGTGATGTTGGATGGCGTTATGCTACTATTAAGCTGATAGCGATTAGAATTGTGTACAGTAATCGGTCCCCGAAGTCCAGCCAAATGATTCATTAGGAAGAGCTGAGATGTGACAACGCCGGGGCTTACGAAAAAGAAACCAAAAAGACTTTAGACTGTCGCACACGTGCCCAAAATCAATTTCTTAAGCTGCGGAATCTCTGAGCAAAGACTAAGTCCCACCAGGCATGATGTAGATGCAACTTGAACGTGGCGCAATGGTACCCCACCCTTACGCACAAAGGAGAAAGTATTAGGTAGAGATTGCTCGAGCACCTCTCGATTCACCGCCTCGATCTATCTTTTGAGATCCCGAAACATACCCACAAAATGCATTCCATCCTCTCGTCCCGATTTCGATGGTATGTCAAGATTCAATAAATCTGAATACGACGCGACGGTTTAAATCGAGAGCATCTACTTTGATACTAAACAATAAAGGGGGTAAAGGGCTTCTTTCGGATCCTTCATGTTTGGTTAAGAGGTAATTTCACCAAAAAAATGGAGCTTTTCCACCTGTGAGAGCCTTCGCGGCCTGTTCTCATCTGTGGAGTTCTTATCTCGTAGGGCGGGTTTCACGGATGCGTTTTTTATTTTGATATACCGGTTCCTGCATATTTCATACCCCCAATTCTTCCCGAATCTGGAGTTTTTATATCTTGATAATTCTGAGAACTGAAACGAAAACTTTTAAGGATATGCTAGGTCATTGGGGGGCATATATGTGTAATGTAACAAAAAAAACGGAAGAGAAATTGTGATGTGGAGTATTTGCGGAAGCGTATTCGAATTGTATTGTGAAGGGGATACTCAATTCGAATACGGAATTGAGGGGGGAAAGAGAGAGAGAGACTAGTGTGTACGTAGGGCACATGAGGGGGGGGGGGGGGGGGGATAATAAAATAAGAGAGACCGTCACGTGTCAACGCATCTATAAACCTATGTTCATGCAGCCCACCACTCATGGACATCCTAAATTAAAGATGAGAGAGAGAGAGAGTGTGTGTGTCAATATGGAACACCCTCATTGTCTAGCGGACTTTGCAAGGCAAGCCATCCCCCCTTGCCTTTTACCATCAATTCCTACGAAATTCTTATGAATTTTATGAACTCCCACACACACAAAATTTTGTCATTTCCTATGGAATTTTCTTTTGTATCTCGAGAGAGCGCTTTCATGGTCTTTCGATCGATCTATCGACCATTTTCGTTCGCCGCATTCAAATTCAGGTCGATACCCTTTTCATATAAAGCGTCGATCTTTTGAATACGACACATACGGTCGATGAATCTATATATTCGTTTTCGGATTATCATCAATTTCCCCAAAGGAAAGATGTCGTGGAAGCTCCCGGACATTGAAGCCCCCTCTACCTCAGCTAGGTGGGCAGGTGTATTTTGCAGGACAGTAATGAATATCATGACTAAATTAACCCATAGTTTTAAAGGGATTCAAGCCCAAAGAGGAGATCTTTTAGCTCAAGTATCACCCAGAGGAGACACTGATTAAGCAATTTCTTAACGTGTTATTACATCATGGAAGCGGGTTTTTCCTTGCTACTCGAAAAGGGTTGTTGTTGTTTATCTGTTTATTTTTTGTTGTTGTTGTAGTTGTTTTTTTGCTATTTCCGAGATATGCATGACTAGAGTGTTTTAGTACTTGCCTTGTCCAGCATCTCTCTCTCTCTCTCTCTCTCTCTCTCTCCAATTATTTTATCTTCCTCGAGACATCAGCTTCCCAAACAATGGTTTTCACTTTCAGCTTATATAGCTCCGCAAATATCACCCATCCTCGAAGCAAAGATCAACGGGTCCCGTTCTAATGCGTATCTCACCCCCCACACGCTCTCCACCTGCTGCTGCTTCTTCTTCTTCCACCGATGACCCAATACTCTGTTTCTTGAGCGTCTGATGGTTTTCTTGTAGCTATCTCTTCCCCTGTCTCTGTATCTGTCTGTGTCTTTGTCTCTCTCTTCTTTTCGTTTCGTTTTTTTTTTTTTGGTTTTTTCCTGGTTGGCCCTTTGTTCTATGGACTTTGGGATGGTGAGTCTGGATGGGCTGGTGGGCACAGATCCTGGCGGTGGCTTGCCTCCTCACGCTTCAGATCCTGGAGCGAAGCACAAGCTGTACGGATCTGGGCTGTTCAAGCAAGAGCGGTCATCGGCATCGTCGGCCGAGGATGAGTGGCGGAGCTCGAAGATGGTCAAGACCGATGATTTCTCAGCTCCCAAGGCAATGCTGCTGCCCCAGCGGAGCCCCACCGCTTCGCTGAGATCTAATAACTCGGCCGGTCTCTTCTCTTCTGATGGTCAGCAGATGCTCAGTTTCTCTTCCCCTAAATCGGACGGTCTCCCAAACTCCCACGCTCCTGCATTGCCGTCCTACTTTAACTACACACCATCCTTGTGCAGTAACTATGCAGGTATAAGCATTTGTTGGCACCGAAAGCATCTTCCTTCAGCTGCTAATTAAAAATCTTGCCCAAACACTGTTCACCGCGTTCGCGCGAGGCATTTTTAAGAGAAGGGTGTAACTGTTAATCTTTGATTTTCATCTGGTTAGTAAACTGGTGATGTGGGTTTTTGCTAGAGTGTGTAAAGCTTTGTTTTTTGTCTTTGTTTTCACGAATATGGGTCAATCTTTCTCTTTGCCTTATCATATGGGCAGGACCTGGGGTGCATCACGTTATTCTTTAGTTCCAAGAACATGGAGGTCACTGGCCATCTTCTGTCAAGTCCAAAGCTGTATTAGGAGGACTTTTCATGAAAATCTCTACCTATATGGTCTCTGCTCTGTCTTGTCAAGGAAAAAGCTGAGATTTTTTTTTTGCGCTCCTTCGAACTCTTTTTGCTTGCCGTCAAGTATGGGGAGGGTCTTGTCTCCTCTTCAAGGGAGTGCAGTGGGCACAAAAGAAGAAAAGCCCATAACAAGCAAGAGATTTCAGGGGTTGGGATCTTTTTCAGTTCCTCCTAATTTGCCACTGGCTCTTTTATGGGTCTCCTTATCTCTACTTGCCCTCGTTCAGCTATGACTGTTTTATCGCTCTTTAAATACCAGCAGACAACCTGTAGTTTTGTTTCCCTCGGGCCTGCTTCGCTCTACAGTAACAGACAGCCTTCAATTTTTTTCTTCTCTTTTTGCTGGCTTGAAATGTTCTGGCTTCTCTGTTCTTTGATTTGATTCTTTAGCCGTGTACTTGCTGATGTTTGAGCTGTGTGAGCTTAATCCTCCCTTTTCTATGCTCTTTTTCAGGCTTCAACTCTGCCGCAAGTTTGAATGGGGCAAGCATGCAAGGGGTCTTGGCAGGTACAAGAGGTCCATTCACTCCGTCTCAGTGGATGGAGCTGGAGCATCAGGCCCTGATCTACAAGTACATCACTTCAAATATCCCTATACCCTCCAACCTCCTCATCCCCATCAGGAAAGCATTTGATTCTGCTGGTTTCTCCTGCTACCCTGGTGGGCTCCTGAGATCCAATTCTTGTGAGTTTTTCTCTGTTCCTTCCATTGAGGGCAAAAAAAAGATTGAAGCTTTTTTTATTGGGTGCACAGTCACTGTTTATGTTTTTGCTCCTTTCTTTGTGACATGGGGTCCAAATGCTTCAGATTTTCGTAGCATCACTGTGGACTCCATTTTATAGTTTGAGCCTTGGACCGGTAGTTATGCCCTTGGTTTCCACCGTGTTTTGCTTAATGGCTAGCTGTTGCGGTTTTGGCGCTGCCTGCGGAAATCATTTGTGCTCTTAAATGATTGACCTGTTATAATTCAAAGAAATTGCTTGTTAATTAAAGTTCCCGGTGTTGTTGTAGTGGGCTGGGGTTCTTTCCATCTGGGGTTCTCCAACACCAGTGATCCTGAGCCAGGAAGGTGTCGGAGGACCGATGGGAAGAAATGGCGGTGCTCGAGAGACGCAGTTGCGGATCAAAAATACTGTGAGCGACATATGAACAGAGGCCGCCATCGTTCAAGAAAGCCTGTGGAAGGCCAAACTGGCCATCCCGTCTCTGGGGCCACCAACACCACTTCCTCCACCAAACAGCTGCCTGCTGCGCCCTCCGCTTCGGCTGCGACTGTGGTGCCCAGCGGCGGTGCATCTAACAGCCTCACCATTGCTCACCAACAGGTCAAGAGCTTGCAACATGGTGTTCTTAATCTAGCTGGAGATGCTTCAATGAGGAGGTATAGTACACTATTTTCTTTCCTGAGAGTTGAACAAAGATGAGTTTATACAGGCAAACCACGTTCTTTTATGTTTAGCTCTAGTGGTACCAATCTATGTTCTTTACTTATCATATCTAAAATTAGACTCGTTACAGGAAAGATAGAACATTACTATCTGTTTGATGAACCTGTTCTCTATCTATGTAGAAAACTTTCTGGTTAAAACCCCTTTCAAAGGTTTTCTGGACTCAGGAGATTAGTTATAAATCCTAAATGACATGCAATCACCTTATCAGTATCTATGTTCTTCATACTAATAGAATTTCCCCTTGTTGGGCAGGTTCTTTACTGACAAAGGTAGTGTAGGTGAGAAAATGCAAAACCCTCCGAGCCTGTCTATGTTGTCACCGACTTTTGACTCTAATTCAAAGGGAAACCCATTCATGATAATGAAGCAGCAATTTGGACTCGGCAACTCTGACTCCTACCTCAATGCTTCTGTGAAAAACTCTTCCTTGTTAGACTCCCGAAACTATGGCTCTTCCCAAGACCTGGGCGAGCAAGATAGCGAGTCGCACCATTCTGTTCACCAATTCATGGATGATTGGCCTGTAAACCCAGCAGATCGCTCCGCCATGTCGTGGCCTGAAATCGATATGCAGTCCGACAGGACTCACCTATCAATCTCTATCCCGATGTCCACTTCGGACTTGATTTCTGCCACTTCCTCTCCCAACCATAAGAAGGCCATGCCCTCCCCGCTCAGACTGTCCCATAAATCAGACCCGGTTCAGATGAATCTAGGAGTAGGCAGTTTCTTCAGTGAACCCACGCATAAGCAGTCAAATTCCTTACCCATCTCCTGGGAGACTTCCATGGGTGGACCCCTGGGCGAGGTATTGCATCACAGAAGCAATAGTGCCTCCGAAGGCAAGAATGCCTCGGTGCTCAACCTCATGAAAGATGGTTGGGATGGTAGTCCTCCACTTGGATCATCTCCAACCGGGGTGTTACAGAAGACAACATTTCGGTCACTGTCCAACAGCAGTGCAGGCAGCAGCCCTCGGGCAGAGCATGCCAAAATCCACGAAGGGATGGCTCTGTGCAACGGCCTTCTTGGGTCAACCCTCATGAACTCGTCCTTGTAACCCGCCGTGTAAGTGAATTTGATTTGCCGGGTGGTGAGGAGGCACCACGAGGCAAATGAGTGAGTTTCACCCTGCTGCGTACTACCTAAATGTCGAAATTTGTTCCTTTTTCGCTTGACTGTCATAATTTGTCTCTTTTATTCACTATGGTCTGCTCATCGGCCCATAGGTTGTATCACAGTAAAGTATGTTAAATTTTGCAGTACAAGCTAAGTATCTGCACCCCGTGAGTTGCATATTTTTATCAGACCAAAAACTTTGCTTGTATGGAGAGGGGATAAATATTGCTGGTTGGAGGGGGGCAACTGGTATGGTTAGTCACAGGGACCATGCTGGCAGAGCTACACATTATTGACGGGGTCCCCCAGTGATTTAAGGCACAAGGGCAGGACTTGATGTATAGAAAAGCTCGTGACGCTACGGCAACTCATGGGTCTTTTCTCATGATTCCAAGTGTTTTACTCATGCATTGACAGTAATGGATGGACCCTGTGCCGTTGAATGAGCCGCCTGTGGTTCGACCCGTGTTCATAGAAAACACCAAGAAAACACAACTGTGGTTGGGAAGGTCCAAGAACTTCGAAGCATTAATGAGTTATTTCATAGCAGCAGTAGTTTGTGGAGGCTAGCCTCTGTATCTTGTGTGCATAAGTTGCTTTTGTGGGGAAGTGACAACTAGCACTTGCGATCTCCAGGAATTGGTGTTTACTAAATTTTTTTTTGATACTTTAAGTCGAGACTTACACGTAATTGTCAGTATTTGAGCGTTCCATTTGAGGATTCAATGTGGTTTTCGATTCTAAGTCGTTAAATACTTTGTGCAAATGGTCATTACACTACGTGTGCGTTTGTATGTTATTTTCAAGAAAATGTTTTTCCTAGGTTAGAAAGCTCATTTTCCTAAGCATGCATATATTTTTTTTACTTTAAATGGTTTTCTATTATCTATTAACCGATCATTTTTAATAAATTAAAGGCGTGAGTCTGGAAAACTAATTCATGGAAAATTATTCGTACCCAAACACAACAGTGTTTGGTCTGTTGAAAATATTGGTGAATGGAAAATCATTTACGATTTAATAAAATAATTAGGAAAATGAATTTCTTAACTCGAAGAGGGAAGAACAGTTTGCTAAAATATGATTTTTCGAAAAGCATTTTCTTTAACAATAAGGGTTTCTCCTAAACAAACACTGAAATCACAATTTCAGTTGAGTTAAATTCATGCAATGTTCGTAACGATGGAACATCTGATGTAGAGAAAAGGGAGGTTTGACCTATCTGGGATACAGCTCCCGCTTTGGTGGCCATGCCTTTCCCTCAACGGGACGTCAACGTTTTCTGCCAGATTTCTTCGATTATGCTACGGGGCAGAGCACGATAGAGTTTGATTCAGAACCGTTCTATGTAAAATACGGACTAGTTGCCACCCATTTCTCGATAAAGAAACCCCTCATCAACACAGAGTGAGCCAATCAGATCATTACAGGAATTGGCAGTGGCAGGTTCTGTAACACAAATTTCGTCACTTGGCGGCAGAGACACACTTGTACGTTTTATAGATTAGAATTTATGGTCACAAATAAATTGCACTGACCATCCAAGCACCAAGAGGGTACGGCCCCCACTAGCACCCTCCCCTCAGACCGTCGCTTGGAAGAAGCATACCACCATTACGGCGACACTATTTGGTCCATGCATAAAGGTGGTGATCGGCGACCGATGTAACTACCTATCCATTATCAAGGTCTCATATTCAATACGGAATGTTTGGCTTGAATTATAATTACGCAGTCTATCCTTAGGTGTACTAGCCCGTCTTACCGCAACTCCACCGGCGTACCAGAAGCCAGGTTGTCTCGCCACATAACATAGAAGATTCCCAGTGTACAAACTGGTCACAAGATCGCTCATGACATGCTCAAATTTATGATCTAGTGAAAGGCAGCGTGACTCGTTCACCATTGTGCTGCCGCACTCGTAGGTGGTCCATTCATCTTTGGTGCCAAAGGTAGTAGCAGTCAGACTAGCTGCTACTTGCTAGTTCTCCACAGGGCAGAACAATTTGGCTTCCATCATCCTGTCCCAGGCAGAACCCAACAGCTCCTGTTGTGCTTCTAGCAGAAAATAGATGCCATTGTTTTATGGTACTTACTCTGTTGCATGTTTTACGGGAATGCCCGTTTTACCAAACTCTCTGGCTAATGGCTATTCACTTCGGATATTGGGGAGGGACGTTCAGTTTCAACACCCACAGAAGAGTTCTTGTGAAATCCTGAGTTTTTTAGGGTGCACTTGGAAGGGTGAAAGAAATTTGGACGAGTTGTTTGGGTACTTCTACAAATCCCAGGAATCGGATCTCCACGACCGTTGATCATTGAATTACAAGGAACAAATCTCGATTGTTTACTGACAAGCTTTACAAGGTTTGAGGTGCAAGGGACTAGAATTTTCGGACAGTGAACTGGGACCTTAAGGACCATAGAAAGCCCCCGTGTTCTTTGCACGATGGTGGCTTTCGTGTTAATTGGTATTACTTAGCGGACAAGATATAAAACCATAATTTGTCGAAATTATATTGCGGATATAAGCCGTATATAGGATATAAAACACGATTTTCATGTTCGACCTGTCTTTCAAGAAGCTAATCTCCGAGCTGGCATTGCGTGGTCTAATAGCCCATGCAATGGATCAACCGTACGACTAATCCCGTATTATCAGATGTCAATCCACAACTTAATTCCATTATTCTAGGCAGAACATGCTCTGCTTCATCTTAAACTCCCAAGCTTTCTGAAATCAAGGGTTACCCTACAACTGTACTGGTTCAGCCAACCCATCCTGATGTTCTCAGCTTCCCTAAAACATAGAAGAAGCCCAACACATTATGTCCACGGACCGAGAAATCAGGATTCGGTCTTCCGCTAACGGCAAAATGCTGCCAACATCTCTTTAGGCATGATTTTGGCCTCGTTTGGTTCAGCATTCGGCCTAACATTGGCCAAATGCTAGCATTTGGAATGCCGAAAGCCCAAAGCTGGTCCGGACCAGCTTTGGGCTTTCAACATTTGTGGTATTCTGAATCAAAATTTTTTGTCCCCAAACTACCATAACTTATTTTGGCTTATTCCGACTTTGCCCATTTGGTACCGTTCATCTTCTTTGTGAGGTGGCCGGCGAGAGCGGCCGATACCGGATCAGGCCGGCGAGGTCGCATGACCTAGGCGCCGGCTGCCTGGGTTGCTCGAACCTCGCCGAGGGTCGCCTGGCCTCAGGCAATGATCGCCAACAGCAAATCTAGCTCGCCGGGAGTCGCCTGACCTCAGGCGACGGCCGCCGGCGCCAGATCTAGCTCGCCAACGGTTGCCCGACCTTGGGCGATGGTCACCGCCGGCGAGCTCGCCGGCGCCAGATCTAGCTCGCCAACGGTCGCCCGACCTCGGGCGATGGTCACCAGCGCCAAATCTAGCTCGCCGGCGGCCGTAGGCCTTCGCCGGAGCCGGTGAAGGGTGGGATAGATTTTTTTTTTAAATAAAAAAGATAATTCCCAAAGCCCTTTGGCAAAAAAAAATTTACCAAACACTACTTGAGTCAAAGTAACTTTACAAATGATTTTTTATTAAACGCCACTTGCATTTCCCCAAGGAACTTTAACCTAAAAATATTTATATTCCCCCAAGTAGCATTTTAAAAGTTAAGCCAAACGGGCCCTTATTCCCCTCTGTTTCAACATCAATTTCATCATTGGATTTATATGATTTACCACCTATGGTTGTCACTAAAATGGCCTTTTGACCACCTTCACTCATTGAGAGCTGTTCAAACACCTTTCGATCTTATCATATGTTTTGCACATAAAATTGGACCGTGTGAACAATTTGACATAAGAGAACGTATAGCACACCTACCCCAGCCACTACGAGTAGCGCTTCTCATTCTTGACAAAGAAGCTCTTCTCAATTGATCTATCCATCCTCTTTTATTCGAACAAGGAGCATAAAAATAATTTCCTTTGCAGCCTTGACATTTCTTAATAGAGCCAGCAAGAATTCATATGCATACTGCGGAACAACAGGAGAGGCACATGTGCATGCATTCGAAGGATTCCGGTAACAGCTTAAGCTGTAAGTTAAAGTTTTTGACTTGCGAATGCACATGGAAAATGATCTTGCCTATGTTGGCGTACAACGCAAGAATTACCAAGAAAAAAATGACAGCGATCTCTGAAAACTTCAAATTGCAAAAACCTTTTCTTTCAAGCCATACCAACTTCAGCAAGCGCAGTTGTAACTAAAACCGAGGATCGAGATTAACAATCAACATAAAACCTTAGCTAGTTTCGTGGCTAAGGCGACAGTGTTACTCCAGTAGACCGCAGAAATGCAACCGAATATGGAGGCGTGCGTAACCCTAATGCATCGACGAACTCGACCGCATTAGGGCTTTAAACACCACCAATCTCAATCTTAGGAGTCAGTGCAAGCACAAAGCAATTACTGCAAAACTGCCATGTGAAAAAGGCATCACTTAACTCCTCACAAAACATCACAACTGCGAATCAAAAATGCCTACAAATTTTCCAACGTTCCAAGTTCCAACGCACAAACACATTTTCCTCTTATTTTCATAAGACATTTCGATATCTTCTCATGAAACCTGCAATGAACATCCTAGAAATCGCAACCCTTTTTCATAAAACACATCTGAAGACCAAGTACAATGGAAAAACCCTATAAAAGATTCGAACTTTCCCAGTCCACCAGCAGCAAAAAGATGAAATTTTGACGAGTGGGTGCTCATATTCTATGGGTGTATAAGGAGTCTGTCATGCCACGGCGATGGCATTCAGAACGAGGAATTTTTTTATAATCATCGCACCAAAAACAAGTTCCCCGGTTCACACATCTCATCTACAATCAAGAAACCATCACACAGAAGCTATCTATCATCAGACACGACACAAACATGAAACTGCACGGACGAAATCGATCATTGGGAAAATGGGAAAGCGCTCGACCAGCGAACGGATCGCGCGAACTACAAAGAACCGAAACCGAAGGAGACAAGAATCTGCGAAGTCACACGAACAACGCAAACAAGGAGAGAAGCGGGAAGCTGGTACAGTGAGGAGCGCCGCTCGCTGCGATTGTGAGGAGGGCAGGGCACGGATGCGAGGGGGGGATAAATACAGAGATTTGCACGAAACCCTAGCGGCGCCATCGGAAATTTGCTCTCCTGTAAGCGGAAGCATGAACGGGGCTTTTCCATAGCATCAAGCCCACCGTTCTTGATGGGCTTGTACGATGAACAAGGGCCGTTTTAGTCCAAGCACAAACTGCAGACGGCCTACGGCCCACCTCTTTCCACGATTATATTCAGGCCTTGAGGGCACGTTTGTTTCGTGAAAAATAAATGATGTGAAAAATATTTTCCTAAAAACGATTTCTTATAACAATTTGTGTCTAAACATTTTTGTGGATGATGAAAACAATTTTCATTCGTTCAATTTTGTGACGTGGGCGATGAAAATATTTTTCATTTATTTATTGATGTAAGCGATATAAGTGATCGTCTTTTAAAGAAAATATTTTTCAAATTGTTCATTTTTCGCGAAATAAATGAAGCATGAATGTACGAAATTTTAGCAAGGAATCCAACAAGTAATTGGACGCTGCACAAGTAATGGTGAACGTGCGCAAGGCTAATAATATCTTGTATACAAGAGCGATTCCAGGAAGTAGATGTAGCAATCGGCATGATAGGTTTTAATAACGTGCTTATTTAACGATCTATTTACCATTTATGATCTACGTTCGGTAGTAGACCGATATCGATCAACATAGCATCTTTCCTTCATTTTCGGTGGTTGCCGTGAAGGATTGATGAGGAAATGCGTTATGCTCTGACTCTCGAAAGATGTGTGAAATTTGGAACTTGAGGGGGGACTTATGAACATAAGTAGTCCTTCAATGACTCTTCTCGACTATCAGATCTGGAATACAATGGAGGACTAGTTCGGTGACTAAGGTTCCGTCGGTTTCGCTGAAAATATTTTCCAGAAAAACATTTTCCTTATTTTTTGGCGTTTGGATCATTTTAGAAAATGAATCAACAGAAAATGTTTTTCTAGTTAATGAAAAATGTTTTCCTACCAAAATTTAAATTCAGAAAATGATTTTCTTTTTAAAATATTGGAGATCATTTTTCAAAATATAACTAGATATCGATACTTTGACCATAAACTCTACGTTAGGGCACGGGAACCTCAACACTCATTCCCGAGCCCTTGGCAATGGGGTTGCATCTGGGTCCATCAAGGCTGGGCTTAGGTCCATTTAGGCCATCCACGAGACCCTAGCCGCCGAACCCAAGATCATAGAGGCCGGGCCTTGGTGGCTATGCCTAGCTCCCCAATTCCAAGCCCAAGTCCATCTGGATCGGGCCAAGGACTCTCATGCCCGTGCCTGAGTACCCTTCGCCCGTTCCTTAGTCCATCAATGTCGAGCCTAGGTCCATTGAGGTTGTGCCTGGGACCTTAGCACTCATGCTTGGGACCTCGGTCGCCCATGCCTGGGTCCATCATGGCCAGGCCCTGGGCGCCCAGGACCAGATCCCCAGCGCTCGAACTCAGGTCTATGGAGGCCGAGCTGTAGACCTCAGGGCCCGCCTTGGGTCCATTAAGACTAGGCCCTTGACCCTGGCACCAAAGTCCATGTCCCCAGTGCCTGGACTTGAGTCCATTGAGGCCGTGCCTAGGACCTTGACAACCGAGCCTGGTCCACCGAGGTCAGACCTGAGCTCGGGCACGAGGATCGGGGCCAAACCTTGATAACTAAGTCTGGGGCCTGGCTTCGATGGACTCGGGTGCGGGCACCAGTATTGGAGTCTCGGGCTTGGCCTCAAGTGACCCAGGCTCGGGTGTCGGGTTCTGGGGCCCAACCTTGATGGACCCGGGTTCAGGCGCTAGGGACCTAGGCCAGCCTTTGTAGATCCGAGTTGGGGCGCGAGTGAGCTGGGTACGGGCACCAAGTTCATGGGCTTGGTTTTGGTGGAGCGGAGCTAAGACTAGTGCCCTGCTCCTGCTTGCGAGTTGGGGATTCGGTCTTGGGACCCCGATGCTCATGCCCAGTTCCTTGGCTAATCCATGCCAAAATCACTAGCACCTGAATAATGTATGTTTATCTAGGAAAATCAAATGAAGTTTTTCTTACCAATCGACGGAATTATTTTTAGGTCGCAGCCTAGATATCATTTTTCAGACATATAATTTTTTTCGCGAAACAAATAGAGTCTAAGCACTTAGAGGAGACGCGGGAGATCATGTACTCAAGCCACGACATTTCTCATCTAGAGTCATCTCGAGGGGCCACACCGCTACATCGTGAATAGAGACTTATAAGACGGTCTCCTGCTGAGCCTTGTGGACGAAGAAGGCTGTGCGCATTCGTAGATGCGGCTGCATTTGTACCTTGTCTCTGCTTGACACGAAGTTGAACAAATTCGAATCTTCTGTCCATAATAAAAAGGGTTAATATCACGAAAAATCCCAAATTGGTATACCTGTGATAAATTTATCCTTCGTTAGTTTTCGTTAAATTTTACTGTCAAATTGCTAAGTTTGATGACTCGTAATAATTGATGGGTGTACCAATTTGGGGTTTTAACCCTCTGTTTGTCACAAACTTACCAATTTGTGATTTTTCGTGATATTAATCCAATTTAATGGAGGGTAAATTTGTCACAAGTGTACAAGTTTAGAGTTTTTTGTGGTCAAAAAATTAGTTTGGGGTTTTTGATAGTAAAAAAATTAGTTCGGGATGAAATTATCACATGTGTATCAGTTTGGGATTTTCGTATTATTAACCCTAATAAAAACCTAACCCTAGGGTTTCCTACAGCTAGTTAGAGACGACTGTTCTGTCGTAGTCTAAACAAATTTGGTGTCCTATGAATGGTTGATTATTCCAAAACACATCCTTGATCGATTGAGCTTACCTATGCTCTGGCTGATCCCAACGGCGTCTAAGACTAGTAGCCTTCAGCTTTGCCGGCTAACAGATTCTTTAGTTGTCTACGGAAACCAATCGGCCAATCAGCTCGTTTCGTTAATAGGGCTGATTAATTATTCATTGGTCTTAATCAGCCGTCAAGCTTGTCTGGGACCGTGGATTTCAGAAAGCCTGCAAAGCCACGACTTGTAAAGTCTCTCCCCGCATGATCTGTGGGACACTGTTACAAAACCTAGTTTCTCTTTTCGATGTCGTCGCTGAAGTAAAGACCACGTTGGACCGTGTTAGCTATACGTTCGCATGATATTACACGCAACCAACGAAAATTTATTCTTTGGAGAAAAAAATCAGATCACGCAAAGTCATAAATACGACTATACGAGCGCATCCGTTTATGACGCAATATTTTTCCACCCTTCTCTTTCGTCTTTGAGACGCAAATTTGAAGGTTAGTTCTTTTCTTGGAAGTTGCTGGTTTCCGATAATAATGGCGTCGACCACAGCCTGTTGAATGTCATTTGATACACGAGCTTGATCAAGAAATGGAAATGCATAAATTGATGCTATTTTCTGCCTAAATTCCAGTAGAAGAGATATACGTTTAGAGATAGACAGATACACTAAGAAATTACTTGACTAATATCTGTCACTTTAGAGATAATGACATCAGCCAAGCCAATCCAAGAGGAAGGGATCATGATGATGTTGGAATAATGTTAAGATATAGAAGAGGACGTGATCAACGTATCTCTACTTTGTTTATTAGAAGGCTCGTGAATTTGCTAAGCATACTACGTGAAGAAGGGTTTAGTCTTCGAAATTCTTATCGCTCATGTTACGAGAAAATTCGGTGTCCATAAAATCGATATTTTCCATTTATTACCTAACAAAAGATCTGAAGTATATAATTGTTAGAAGCCTATTTTATCACCTCGGCTAGACGATCGCATGAAATGTTTTCCATTAGCGCGGTTTTATGCAATGCCATGTTCATAAATGACATATGCGAGTGGAGTGAATTGGTCTCTGGTTAGGAAAAGGTTGGGTCCTTTGATTTGGAGCCAAGATTCAAGCACTTGCCCGGTTGCGATGGCATTGTTCATCGAACCCAAACGACACTCCTTGAGGGAGATTCCATGTGGCCGTGATGTGCATGATCATTAGGCCTTGGCAAAATCAAGGGAAAATTTACCAAAAAAGTCATAAACTTATTATACGGATGCCAATTTATTCATAAATCTTTCAATTTAACAAACTCAGTTATAAACCCTTTAGTAAATTTGCTCATTCAGTCATTCTGACAATTTTGGCAAGAAAATCACTGACATGAACGCTGGCTGTGCCACGTAGGACGGCCGGCGCTGATGTGGACAATTTTTGCAATTTTTAATTATTTTTATAATTTTTATTAATGCATTGTCCTTGTTAGTATTGGTTGTGTCACGTTAGACGGCTGGTGTCCATGTCAGTGACTTCTAGCTAAAATTGGCCAAAAGGACTAAATTGGCAAATTTTGAAAATGTTTATTACTTAATTGGTCAAATTGAAAGGTTTAGGATTGAATTAGTATCCGTATATGTTTACAACTTTTTTGGTGATTTTTCCCCAAACTAAGGTCACAATCCTAGTGTGATCATGTGTGCCGGAGCTGGCAGAACCGGCACCGATCGATCTTCCTTCAATTTAGTCATTATGCTATGCTAGCCATCTATTGATGATTTTGACGGAGGCTGACCATGGAGGGTTTGCATATCACCTTGAATGTGAGCCGTATATGAGGTTTTGGTTGGTACTATTGAATAGAAAGTTTTAGGATATATTTGCATGACTGACTCCGTTTGTTTTGCGAAAAATAAATGGTCTGAAAAACATTTTCCCAAAAGTAATCGTTCGTATCGCTTAAAATAATTAGTCAATGAAACATGTTGTCATTATCAACACCAATTCATGTCTAAATATCTCGTGGACGATGAAAAAATCTTTAATTCATTCACTTTTGTTAGCGATATAAGTGATTATTTTTTGGAAAATATCTTTCAAGCCGTTTCATTTTCCTCGAGACAAATGCCCTCATAAAAGAATTTGAGAATCTATGGCATTTCAAGTACACAAAAATTTAGCGGTTGAGGTGAACTTGTAAAACCAAAACGAAAGAAAATGAAGAAATAAAAAGAGAGGCAGATGTCATCGATTTAATCCGCAAAGCATCTGAACATGAACTCAGTCAAACCATTCGAAGCTTGTCCCTTTGCTATTGTGCTCTTTAGCCACATTTCCTCATTGCCCATCCGTGATGTAGACATTCCGCGGGGACTTGGTCACACAAATTACCCACCTCCATTGTCCTTTTCTCTCCATCTTTCGTCGTACAAGCAAGCACCCACGTCTTCCGTGTCATATCTGCTTGACCATTTGGCACTCCTGCCGTTAATCACTAGGATTAGCATTTACTTCACGCGCCTCTCGTCATTTATAAAACCTCCCTAATCACCATGACTAGCGTTCCGCCCTAAGTTTTGGTGCTTTCATTGATCAAGCAATCCAAAGAACAGAGAAGCATGAGTGATCCTAGAGGGAGCGTGCCCTTTGCATGGGAGAACAAGCCCGGAGTCTCCAAGGCGATTTCGAGAAGCAACAGCGGAGAATCGTTGTCGCCGCCACCAGTCAAAGATAGGAGGCAGTTCCCAACCAAGTTGCCGCCGCCCCCGTGTCCGATGACGGACGGTTTGAGGGTTTCCATGGCACAAGAGATGCAGATTCCGCTCCCACCGTGCACCTTTCAGCCTCCGCGGAGGAGTAGCTCAAAGAAGGGCGCAAAGAAGCAGGACGACGACCCGTTCCTCGCGGCTTATAAGGAGTGCACCAAGGGTACCAAGGCAGAACATCGTCACAAGTTGTCCAAGCACGATGATGGAGGTCTAGGGTTTGGGCTGAGGAAGTACATGCTTGCTAATTTCTCTTGTAAGCGGTCGTGCAGCGTGAGGGATGACAATATGGTCAGAGTTTCTCATTTGAGTGAGAGAGAGAGAGAGAGAGAGAGAGAGAGAGAGAGAGAGAGAGAGAGAGAGAGAGAGAGAGAGAGAGACGATAGGTTTCAAGATTTGAAAGGTTTCTTGAATGGGCAGTGCTTCTCACTCTAAATTTAGAGAGATTGGATACATAGCATGCTTTAAGACACCTAACGAGAGTACATAGCTTTACTTTTATCTCATCTTTCGATCTAACTTTGCTGGCTCCAATTAGGGCACATCTGAGATCTTTGAATAAACATATCTCTGGCCTTCTATGTTGTAAGTAGAAATTTCCTTGGTCCGGACACAGCTGAAACTGTCGTGCTCGTATTTTACAAGAAGTTCCTCAATCATGATGAAATAATGTGTTCTTGTTTCTTATATTTTTAGAACACTTTCACCCATTTTTCCTCCTTGTAGCAGTGTCATGAATACTGGATTAAGACCGGCCGGTTGAACCAAATATCGTTCCATCTGTCATTCGTTTTTCTTTAGATTTTAGATTCGCCGAACCCGATTAACGAATCAATTGTGCGGCCTGCTTTCTGATGAGCTTTTGATCATAACAATCAATTGTGTGGCATACTCCTAAATTACATCCTGAAGAAACTGCAAGCGCTTTGAATCCCTGGTAGAATCTTGTGGTAAGGATTTGCGTGTTCCTTTGAGAAATCGATAGAGATTGTTCTGTGAGGAATTGTGAGGCCTAATAACTGCGTGAGTTATGGAATGTAATTAGGGGTTGGAAAACATCGAGTGTGGTTGTTATTAATGTCGTATCGTATGATCTATAGTGGAATTTTGTGCTGCTTTTCTCGTAGGGTGAGACAAGCTTATTGTCAAATCTCATAAATTGAGTATCCAATTTATTTTCTTATTCTGTTTATTAATATATTCGATGTCTTATTCTCTGTTAAACTAATTTTGACAAAAGATTAAAAAATTCTTGCTAAAGTAATAGTCCCACCATAACTTGTACTTAATATGATGACTACAATCACCTCACACTTCATATAATATACTGGTGGACAAACAACCGTCAGGTGTTAGGTTAGGGTTACTAGTTTATCATTCAAGCCTTAACCGGGGGATAATTGTAAAAAAAATTCTTAATTTATTGTAAGAGCGGTCAATTTAGTCCTAAATATTTCAATTTGACCAATTTAGTTCTAAACCTTTTTACGATTTACCAATGTAGTTCTTCCAACTAAATTTTGTTGAAAATTGTTGATTTAACGATTTAGTCAGCACTAGCTATCTTGCATGGCACGACCGGCATTGACATGGACAATTTTTATATTTTTCCTTTTATTTTCATTTCTTTTTCTCTCTATTTTCCTCCGCCAGTCGTCGGGCATTGATGATGATGGCCAGCAAAGGTCGTTGACAACAGGCTAGGGCCGCCCTTGCCTGCCTCAAGTGCGGGTGGGTAAGGGCCGTGATGCCCTCGCCCAAATCTGGTGAGGGCGTCATGGCCCTTGCTAGCCATTGATGAGGCCCCAACGACCGACAGAGAGAAATAAGGAAAATGAAAAAGGAAAGAAAAAATTACAAAAATCACTCACGTTAACGCCGGTCTCCTTCACTAGCTGTGCCACGAAAGATAAAGGGCGTCCATAGTGATTTCTGGTCAAAATTGGCCGAAAGGACCATATTGAAAAATGTCAAAAGATTTAAGACTAAATTGATAAAATTGAAAAGTTCATGGCTAAATTGGCCGTCGTACAATAGGTTTAGGATTTTTTTGACAGTTTTCCTCCTTTATTGGCGATGTGAAAATGACCATCTCATTCAGCATGAAAATCATACTAAACTTTTGTTTTGCCAATGATTTTACTAAATTGACAAAGTGAAAACAAGAATAAAATAAAAATCAGGAGCAACACGAAATTAGCAAGCACGAACGGAAATTCACAAAAACGTCTTCATCTCCCAAGGCAAACCCCTTCATCTCCCGAAAACTCTTTAATCTTTTGAAGCTCTCCTTTAGGCTCTTAGCTTCAATTTCTAAAGCTGAGAGCCTACTTCGCCTTTGATTTTCTATTTCTTTGCTTTGATTGTCTTTTCTTTTCTCTCCCGCTCTATTTTGGGAGATTGTGTGTGTGACAAAATTTCCGCAACTGATCTTGGGTGAACGTGGAGTCCAGTTCGGCCATTCATCTAGTCGATAGCCATCAAGGAAGATGTCCATGATGTGGCTCCACAACCTCTCCGAGATTAGGATGTTCTTCTCTCCTGATGTTGATTTAGGTCTAGATCTAGGGGTTTTACTCTCCCAATCTAGATTTAGGTTTTGATTTGAGAGTTTCTTATATGTATTTGATTTGTGTTTTTTCAACGTATTGATGTTGGTGTCTCTACGCGGCGATGGCGATGAGGACGTTGAACCTAGACGCGCACTGCAAGCCGTTGCAAATGGAGTGATAGATCTCGGTGTATACTCATCATTGAATCTGGTGATCGGCCACCAAACATATACGGTGGCAGATATGTTCTTGAGGGATAAGAGTGTGCTTTTAGCTGCAGACTGTGAATTGTACTTTGTTATTTGCGTTATAGTATTTGTTTTGTTCTTTAGTTGTTTGGGATTTGCTAGGCTTGTATATCTTCTATGTACCTCCCGATATTATTATGGTTAATGGAATCTTTCTTTCGACAAAAAAAAAAAAACAAGAAATAGCCCTTAATATTGCTCATCTTCAATCACATAAATGACTAACGAAATTCGAAATGTTAGGTGTTACTAGCTAAAGCGGATCGATGGGGATCAAACCTGATTTTCGGCTCAGAAGCAAGCCAGGCCTCTAATGCATCTTCTCCCAAATGATTTGGACCCGGACCCTTTACCAGAACACTGGAAGTGGTGCCCGGTGGTTGGATGCCGCTGCTTCGACCGTATAATTGGTGCGAGTTCGAATCCCTCCACAGCAAATGCTCCGATCTCGCCGGAGTGTGGAGGAGGGGGTGACCTCATATTCCCGAGGGCTTACCCATCGCAACCGGTGCAAATAAGGATGGCACAGCTTCCGTCGTGGTTATCGGAGAAACAACAGACAGAAAAAAAAACGAAGCAACCTTGGGACAAAAGCTGTGGCGAAAATTGGGTGGATGCCTTTTAAGTGGTTGAACTACTGGATGATCCATCGGTTACTCCATTTCTATCAGAAACTGCAGAGTCTCTTTGTACAAATCGTTCCTCTCAGAGAATGGCGAGTCGTAGGTGGAGTAATGACTTTGTTTAGCCTAGTACTCCATTATAATAACTAGCATGTTATGAATTACGTAAGAAAAATCTCATCCTACATTAGTGTTTTCGCATTGATGTAGTGGTTTTCTTTTTGTCAATGTTGCTTCTTTGAAATCTTACGAACTCTTTGCATTGAAGTTGACCTCTGCGGAAAATCGAGCTTTCTGCAACAAGTTGATCAGAAAGTACCCTTCGTTATTTTCTTGATATCGGTTGTTTTCGAAGGCGAAGCTACCTCTCCAATACCTCAGGAGTGATTCTTATGCCTGGCAAATTATTTGAGAAAGAGCGCCAGCCCCTTTTGAGTATGATTTGCGATAGATTTAGAAACTGGACCACCAACTGAGCTCCACCTTATTAAATCTGTAATTCATGGCGTCATGAATTATTATTGGTCAAGTGTATAATTATGTCGTCATTATGGTAGATTTTTTCGACAACTTGTTTAATTAGTCCAACGAGTTTATAACCGGTCCGATGAGCTTGAAATGGGTCCAACTAGACCTGATCGACGGGTGGGCGGACCCCGGACAAAGATTGCAGGCCCGGTCAGTGGGCGAACTGGGCTTGGGTGAGGGCCTCGAGGCCCGGCCCGTCCATACATCTATTAAAAAACTCATAGATAGAGTAGGAAAGAAAAATTCACACAAAGGCCTAACATTATTTTTCATAAATTATTGTTCGTATTTATTTATATTTTAGCTGAAATTTAGAAAAACGATAAGTAAAAAAGGTGACCCGGTGACGGGCCCGGCCCTTACATGTTTTTTCTTTGGGCGGGCTTGGGCACATGGCCAGGCCCGCATGTTTGGGCTTGGGCAGGGCCTCTAAAGGTTTGGGCCCAATTAGGCCCGACCCGAGCCCGCCCAATGAGCAAGTCTCGGGTTGGGTTCTTTCTGTAAAAGACGTAACGCACGGTATTGAACCTATTGAGCTCGATGCCAAATTCAGATCAGTTGGCCTTCGGTTGTTCCAAAGCAAGATGATTACCCATTAGCAAAAGGGATTTATGTAGATGTTGAGAAGTTGAGTAAATAAACTGTTAAAATCTGCGGGAAAATTGTCCAGAATGTCTTAAACCTATTGAAACTTTTATCAATTCAATCATAAACCTTTTAATTGTGCAAATTTCTTTTTTGTCGTAAAATTGTGCCAATTGAGTCCTAAGCCTTGTCACATTTTGCCAATTGAGTCAATTCGGCCAATTTTGGTTAGAAATCACTAACGTGGACACTAATCATTTTACGTGGTATGGCTGACGCTAGTGTGAACAAATTTTAATAATATTTTCTAAATATTTTCTTTTATTTTTCCTTTTTTCTTTTATTTTCTTTTCTTGGTTTTTTCCCCCAATCGCCGGCCACTAGCCCATGCTAGCCCTGGGTGAGGGAATCGTAGCCTTGGCCGGCCAACAAGCAAGGGCCTAACGCCCTCGCATGTGGGCGGCAAAGGCCAGCGACGCCCTATCCTGTGATTGGCGATGGTCGGCCAGCAACCTCGCCGACCACAGTTGGTGAAAAAAACAAAGAAAAGAAAGGAAAGGAGATATAAAAGAAAAAATTAATAAAAATATTCTTAAAATATTAAAATATCATTAAAAATTGTCAACGTCAGTATTGGCCGTGCCACGTAGGACGATTGACATCCACGTTAATAATTTCCGGCTAAAATTAGTCGGATGGACTTAAATGGCAAAACGCGAATATGTTTAGGTTTGAACTGACACAATTAAAAGATTTATGACTGAATTGATAAAAATATAAAAGATTTGAGATTTTTTGGACAATTTTTCCTAAAATTTGCATAGTCACTGTCAAAAGTGTTGCACTGTGGATCCCTTCATTTGCTCGTTGCTGAGTTGAGAGCTACGGTACGATTCAAAAAAAGGCATTCCAGAATGATAAGATAAGATGACCCGACATCGGATCCTCTTGGGTCCAAGCTGAGATTAGGCGATGAACGATAGTATAAAACAAAAGTAAAAGATAATTTGGACCACACCCCCGACACAAACACCATGATTCATGACAACCGAAACGACAGCACGATTCCATATCACGAGCAGAGAAAAGCTTCCTTAAATTTAATTAAAGCGACTTTAACGCCGGGTTTTACTTTCTCCACCAAATTCTCGTTTCTTTTTGGGGCATAGCCATGATGCCGCAGGCACAGTGTAAAGGCGCTATCATTGCCTTCTTCCAACGCGTGAGTTTTAAAAAAGACTGGAAGTTCCACGCATCAAATTGGCCGAGCAAATTGCCTGCCACTGCCAGATCCTCCCTCTGTCTCTCTCTCTCTCTCGCCACTATGTGCTGTCAAGATATCATTTAATCACTGAACATGATCAAATTGGCAGCCGAAGTGGTTGATTTGGTCAAAATTGCATCTTGTGTTTTTCTCCCCCATAGGACGAGACCATAACGGCCGATCTTGCGGGACGGATGCCAATCCAATTTAGAGCACCTAGATCTAATGTTTCGTCTACATTGGAGTGCATGAAAGTTTTACTAACAACCAAATGATTAGTAATCTCTCATCAATAACCGTGTCCTTCGTGCTTCGAAGAGATAAACTTTGGAAAATGGTCGATCGCATCGATTTCATTCGACGGTCCATTTTAAATATTCGGGAATCTACTCGGTATGGAGCAAAGAGATTGTAGCTAGCAGTGAGAGAGTTGCCACTCGAGTTGGCCGACGCAAAACCGTCTTGCGGCTGCTGGTCTGCTAATTGAATTGGAATGGTACTCGGATTTTTAGACTTAATCTCATGCAGAAGGTTTCAGATTCACGTTTGGAAATTCCCCTACCAAACCAACATAGATCAAGATCAAAAGCAAAAAGGAATTTGAGAAAGCTGAGGATACATTCAACACCCAAAATCAAATTACAATTATCAATATCCATTTGATGTTTAAATACCCAGTAGTGAAAACTGATCTTCGTTCACCACTGATCTGGATCCACCCGAGAGTTGTTTAAGCACAAACAACCACCACCCTTTCACAAACCTCTCATAATTGATGATGACTAAGAGATTATTTAGGTTTTCCTGCTCACAAACAATACCGTCTTGGACCGTTTGCTTGACATCCGCTAGTCCTCAAGAAACGACGATCCGTTCTTCATCTTACCTTTCCCGCCGGCGTTCCTCCTCCTCCTCCGCGAGGACGTGGAGCCGCCGTCCCGCCGGAGGTTCCCGTCGTTGTGGATGAGGGGCAGGTCGTTCCCGTCGTCCGTGTCCTCCACGGTCGCGATGCGGATGCAGGAGCACCGCTCCAGGGACGTGAAGAAGGCGGAGGCGACCCCGTTGAAGAGCCACATGGCCACGCCGTCGACCCTTCCGCACCCCGGCGAGCCGGCTTGGCTGCGGACCCTCGGCACGTCGGAGCCCGACCGGAAGTTGAAGAAGCTGGTGCAGTTTGTCGAGGTTGTGGCAACCATATCTGAGGAGGAGGCGTTTGGAGAGGTTGATCGATCTTTCAAGCAAGCACTCGATTAAGGAAGGGTTTTGGAGAGTTTGATAGATCTTTCAAACACTCAGATATTAGAGAGAGAGAGAGAGAGAGGGGTGGCTCTATATTTTTAGGGTTAAGAAGCCTATAACCATGGTCACTTCACACATGTCAATAATGGCCACAGCATAGTTATGTTTTTAATATAATGTGTCATAAAGCACTTTATGAGATTTGGTACTACCATAAAGCATGCGAGCCGAAGTCAAAGAAAAAAATTTGAACATTATCTGAATCGGCTCGTCACATGACAGCATAATTCGATCTTTGGTTTTGAATTATGTACGCATAGTATTGGCTGTGTCCATCGTCTACGCTTGATGCTACTATTTTTTCTAATGATCATATCATGTGCATGCCGTTTGATACTACCCTTGTCCAACTTTAAATCTGGAGAATAAAACATAATCAAATGTTCAAACGATTTTTTTTTTGTTATATTTTTTTCTACATCCTTACCTAATCGAGCATAATACTGATGCATCGCTGGGAATTGGAAGATGTGGGGAAAGAAATTCATCAGGAAGAACCTTCGCGTATTACGTTAAACTAGATGTAATTTTTTCGAACATGTAGGTAATCCCACCAAGGGCTATAATCGTTCCTGATAATTGAGGACAAAACTTCTTTTTTCTTCGGGATAAAAAGATAATTATTGATGTGGAAGGCCATCTTTAGAGCGGTAACACTTCCCAATCGCGTTGGTTAAGCATTCGCTTTCGGAGGCAGCGGTAAGAAAAGAAATCAATGGGTATGAATTGATTGATTCTATTCTTAGACTGGTGAAGCTTCAGCAGCCATTCCTCCGGAGATGGATAGTTGCTCGTGGAGCTCGAGCCACGAACTTCCGATATCTGTCCCCGGCGAGCTTGGAAGTTCCTTCGATCCGGGGTCGTTGCAACCCTCTGTAGCCTTCTCCGATGTTGCAATGTCCTGCACGAACCGCCTTCCCTGAGCGATCCTCATTTCATAAGTTATCTTCCGGGTCAACTTCGCCATCAGGGCTGATTTAAAGTCTGTTGTCGACGAAAGCTAAATCCACCACAAATACCTAGGCTTCGCACAAGGTGTCCCAGCTATTTGCACCGTCGACTCTTGCTCTTTTCCCCACCGCAAATCACGGTTGCACACACACAGAGCCCAAGGGACATGCCTAGGCTTTATCCTTACCCTTCTTACGTCAGATATGTCCTCAATGAACCAGTACAGTGCACATACACACGCACATGCATACGTGCGTACCTACCTTGTGGAACCAACTCATTCAGCATTTTCGCCAGGACACAGATATCAGGTGAAGTTTTCCTGGTTAATCTCCCACCGGATAATTAACCATGAAATTCTAAGACAATCGGCAGTCAACGAAACTCTGATTTTCGGGCCGATTAGTAGCTCCAGAGGAAGCTTAATCCACAATTGCAAAGCCACTCCCGAAGAGGGGCCAATTGACTGTTATTGCCAGGTTCTGCCACAGAACCTTCTTAACTCCAACTACCCGTTTTTGTGTGGACACACATCCTTTCCTCAGTCAATAGAAAACAACACAGAGCGATCCAATTCTTGAGTGGTGTATGTGGTTTTTCTGTCCCCAGCAAAGTTAGACTATTTTCACACCAAAACATAGAATATTCACCTCCACCCTCCATAGCATCACCTATAGATTCGGCGCAGACCTGTTTTAGGGACAGTTCAAAGTTGATATAAACTCACCTATTTTACTTTAAACAAAGTCCATCGAGCTATCAACAGCAAGCAATCAAATCAGAAGTCATTAATCGGAATTCTACATCTAAGCGACGCTGCAATGCCAGAACGATAAGCAGGAATATATACATTAAAATTGTACAGCATCTACCCGATTGGCACAGATGCAATAAGCAGAAGAAAGACAACAGATTTGTCAAAGAATAGAGCACAGCCATTCCAGTTTGATATTAAGACACTCTTCCATATATTTCAGGAGGATCCAGACCAGTGCGACACCGCATGTTTTCAGGGTGTATACAAAACAATGCGAGGTCCTACTACTTGATGCTTCGACGGTGTCTCGATACATATAAGAAGCATTAATCTAAGCAGGTACAAGAACTCTACTTCCACCAAGAACATGCAAATACAAAGCGAGACATACAGTAACGATGACATAAGACTTTGTTCCAAAGAATCTAATGACTTGGAGTCCCCTGTCTACAACCTTCTCGTGAACTATATCAACGCCATGTCTAATACCATCAAACAGCCTCCATAACAGAAATGCGAGGACAGACCTTATCGTTTCGAGAGTCACTCTACCCGTCACATCAAGCACAAACTTCCTATTACTGGGCACAGCCAATGTAGACGAAGCTCTGGAAAACCATTCACTACTTTGAATTCCATCAGAGGATATTCTCTCTGCCTGGAGGTTTGAAATAACTTCTCTATCAAAGACCTTATCGGCTTTCATGTTAGGCCATTCTCTTTGTTGACCAACGGAAGCACCAGATGGTGAAGACGAGTTTGTGCTTGTCAATACTTCATGGGATGTTTTCACCAATGTTTCAACAGCACCATTACAAACCGTAACCAGAATATCCCTCACTTTATCTTGATGACTCGGGTTTGTCAACCCAGAGAAGAGCTCATCATACATGTTGATATTCATCGTCTTGTCAAGATACACCTCGACTGCTGTGCTGACGAACTTTTGGATGCAATTAGCCATGAGCTCCTTGCACTTGTCGTTGGAGGCGACATTCACCCATCTCGATTCATTCGACGAACCATCTCCATTTTGACTACGATCTGTAGAGCTAGCAGCATAAAACCCCATAACCAAGTTCCTAGCAAAACTTCCAACAACAACCGAAGCAAAACCAGACCCTGAGGTCGAGAAGAACCTATCCATAACCCTGTCGGAAAAATCCGGATTCCCTTCCGATCTCTCTCCATTTCCCTCACCGCCCTTATACCCCCGCAACATTCCGACGGTCAAGGCCTCCGTGACCTTGCTCACGCCCTCGCAGAACTCGTCCGATTTGGCGATCTTGGCGATTTGCCTCAAACTATTGGGCATCTGGTCAGAATCAGACCGCAGGAACTGCCTCAGGTCCCTCGAGACGACCCCGGCGGTCTCCGCCGACTCCGAGACCATCTCGGCCATCGAGACAACGGCACCCAACAGCTTCATCACTCTCTTCCTCTTCCTAGCCACCGAGGGCATCCGATACACTCTGTACGCGCCATAACTAGACACCCCACATAGAGCCAACAGAACCAGCACCTTCCTCCTCCTCCGAGTGAAATTCAAGCACCTCTTCACAAGCCCCAGATCCATGAATCACAAAGGGCCCCCGACCTCTTGGAGCCAACCCCAAAAAAACAAAATGGGTCCCGAGTGAATCAGGCAAAAGGACGCGAATCACAGGGGGGGAGGCGGGTGTTCAGCAGGGTTCGGAGGATCAGAAGAAAGCGGGAACCTTTTGAATTTTCTTTCCCAATCCTACACCGCTGACGAGTTCGTGCAAAATGGGTAATCCTCAAGCTACGGAATCACTAGGGAATTACGGCAAAGTTTAACGCGAAACCCTTCAAGAAGGAACCGAAGCAGCGTGGAGAGGAGGAGGCGTGGTGAGTCGAGAGACGAACCTGCTGCGGCGGGAGCTGGAGATGACGCGGCGGCGGCGGAAGTTGCAGGCGAGAGAGAGAGACGAAGGGACGGGACGGGACGGGGAAGGGAGATTTTCTGCGAGTTGACCAAGGAACAAGGAAATTTTGGTCCGTGTGATTGGTGCAGATTTTTTTTGGAAATTAATAAAAGAGGAAAAAATATGGAGTGGCGGGAGCTGATTGGCTAGAGGGGCTCGTGAACCCTCGATTTCCCGGAAAATTTGGGATTTTCTTTTTCTGTTTTTTTTTTTTTAAAAAGAAGACGACTCTTACTTGGAAGTCTTCGTCTTGGATGGTTGGCGACGGCTCTTTTGGGCCTCGGCCCATTGGAGGAGAAGAACTCATTCCACCAAAATTGGGCTTGGGATGCAACGACTAATTTTGCAAAATTTAGTTTGTAAGATACTGTTAGTTTTACTCGATGTTTTTGGGAATGAAGCCGACTTGTTTTGAGTTTTCATTGCGTTTTTATACACGTTGTTTCTCAGATCAATTTAAGATATAGATGGATGCCATAGAGGAACTCAATCAAGAACGTGTTTCTTTATTACATTTAGAACACAAGATCTTTGGCACAGTGGAGGGCAATCACTTCTTGATGGAACTTTGTTTCTCGAAAAGTCAACGATCAGAAAATAACTTTTTCTAAAGATTAGTGTTTGTATCTCTTTGAAAAATTAGCTAACGAGAAACGTTTTGATCATTAACAACAATCTATACCTAAACATCTTAATCGATGATGAAAATCTTTTCAATTTTTGCTTTTGTAAGCAATGAAGCAATCGTTTGACTTTTCGCGAAATAAATGTGCCCTAAGATACTTAATTGGTTTGCTTCGGCATGGCGCATGCACGCTGGAGGAGCAATATAAACTTAGATCTTCTTCTATTCACTGGAATTTTAAGATTGCAATATTATTCAAATGGAAAGACCCTCTACTTTACTGTACATTTTAGCAATACATTTGTGTAGTCAGCTCATGCCTCCGTAAGAAGTGCCGCTTCTCATCTCACCATGTTGGCGTTACTTAAGCTTTTGTCCACGGCCATGTGGACTTGGCTTATGATAGTAGCAACTATTTTTTTTATTAAACATACTGTTTCTCGAAAGTTGTAACCTCTGACATCACTTTTCCTTACTTCAATCGGCCCAATTCCCTAAAAAACCCTCAACTTTAGCCTTTGTCCCAATTATACCCCAAACTTTTTTTTGTCTCATAAAAAACCCCAAACTTTCACTTTTATTCCAAATCTTCCCCATTAACTTTTCGTCCAATTTTTTAATATTATTTTTTATTTTTTTGAATTTTTTTTATTTTTTCTTTTCTTTTCTTTTTCCTTTCCTTTTCTTTTTTTTTTTGTTTCACCTTCAACCTCTGGCCGGCGAGGTCGGCCCCGCCGGCCTCTGGCGAGGCCGACCTCGCCAATAGCCGGCGGGGCCGAGCCTCACCGTAGGCTCGGCCCCGCCTGGCAACCGGGCGAGGCCGAACCTCGCTGCCACCGGGCGAGGCCGACCTCGCCGCGGTTGCCGCGGGGTCGAGCCTCGCCAGATCTGGCGAGGGCTTGGCCGCCGGGTGAGGCTCGGCCTCGCCGGCGTTGGGCGAGCCGACCTCGCCAATAGCCGGCGGGGGCGAGCCTCGCCGACCACTGGCGAGGCTCGGCCGCCGGCCATTAAGCGAGGTTGGCCCCGCCGGCAACCGGCCGGTCGGCCTCGCCCCAGAAGAACCAGCGGCGAGGCCGAGCCTCGCATAGCGGCCGGCGGGGGCCGAGCCTCGCCACCACGGCGAGGACAGGATTCGGGTGAGGGCTCGGCCTGCTTAGGCAGAATCGGCGCGAGGTCGGCCTCGCCAAAGAACGACGAGGTCGACCGAGGCCGAACCTCGCCGTTGTTCGGGCGAGGCCGACCTCGCCATGTCTGGCGAGGTCGACCTCGCCAATAGTCGGCGAGGCCGAGCCTCGCCACCACTACGAGGCTTGGCCCCGGCCATATTAGCGAGGTTGGCCGAGGCCGAACCTCGCCGCTTCCGGGCTGGGTCGACCTCGCCAATAGCCGGCGGGCCGAGCCTCGCCCCCACGGCGAGGCTCGGCCGCCGGCTATTGGCGAGGTCGGCCGAGGCCGAACCTCGCCAGCACTGGGCGAGGCCGACCTCGCCCGTTGCGGCGGGGCCGAGCCCTCGCTGAGCCTCGCCGGCGTTGGGCGAGGCCGACCACGCCTAATAGCCGGCGGGGCCGAGCCTCGCCGTGGTCGGCGAGGCTCGGCCCCGTCGGCTATTGGCGAGGTCGGTCCCACCTCTGGCCGGTTGCCGGACCGGCGACCGGCCAGAGGTTGAAGGTGAAACAAAAAAAAAAAGAAAAGGAAAGAAAAAAGAAAAGAAAAGAAAAAAGGAAAAATAAAATTAAAAAATTAGACGAAAAGTTTATGGGGTAGATTTGGGACAAAAGTGAAAGTTTGGGGTTTTTTATGAGACAAAAAAAAGTTTGGAATATAATTGGGACAAAGGCTAAAGTTTTTTTAGGGAATTGGGCCTACTTCAATCCCAAAAGATACAACAACGGTGCAGCTAGACACATTATAATCGTGCATTTCACTATTCAATTCACACTCAAAAGAGGGGAAAAGGCCAAAACTACAATTTACAGCATGGGAAGGGACAAAATGCACGTTCCAAACATGATGCCCTAACACCCTCATTCCCCTTGCTATTCTGTGGTACCACTTCTTCATAGCTTATCATTCTTAGCATTCATTATTCATTCTATCGTGTCGTTCATTGAATTCGAGTCCAACAATTGAAGACAAGTGGTCAGTAGAAGTGGCAAAAGATCAACACAAAAAAAAAGACGCATCTCTTCCCAAGAGGAGATGAAACAATGAGGCCTTTCTTTTCCAAAGAAATGAAGGAAGGGCAGGACATACCAATTGAAGCAAACGAATTTAAATTCTTGTCATTCCTTGTATGGTCCATTATGTTACAATAGCAATCACATGAAGCAAACGAATTTTCCAAATTCAATGCACATTGTTGCTCAAACCAACCATGCGAGACAAGTAGAACCTTCTGCCTACCAGTTTTTAGGAGGATGAGGTTCCAAAGTCCTCTGCAAATTGTTTCAGTTTTAATAATCCAAAAAAATCAAAGAAGTATGTGATCTCCAATTGAATGGTGTTCTTTCAAGTAGAAAAAGCAATTCCGAAGACATTGTCCTGTACAGCTTCTCACCCCGATGCAAATAAGCTCAGTACACTGGTCGAAGGAAGAACAGATGTTCAGCATGCTCCAATTGCAGACTTGACCCGGTGAAGAATTGTAGTCCATAAGCATGAAAGCATGGCAGTTGGTTCAGGCGAAACCACCAATTGAATTCACCACGAAAAGATTGTCCTTCAGACACCTTTTAAGTCACCAGATAGAAAATAACATGAACACATGGTGAGAAGGAAGCGAGGACGGTAGAGGCTGATGCAGAAACCACGTTTAAGAATACTTCCGATGCTCGAATAATGGATCAATCACTCCAATCAGTATTCCAAAATTATAACGCGGTCGCTTCTTTTAACCCTTGGTCATGAAACTGGCTTGGACTTAATGGGCATACAGACATCCTCATCATCCTCGAGATCACTAAAAGATATATCCTCTTCGATTCCCACAGTAATAACACCTGCATTGTAGCCAAGGAGATCTGAATCTTCCTCCTCTGGCCAATCATCATCATCACCATCATCAAAATCTTGAACAGGCATTTTAGAAGATCCACCGAACAGCAAATCCTTATCCTTACTCTGCACTGCATTTTCTTCAGCTACCGATTCACAAGTGACATGTGTCCCCGAACTTATACTAGGACACTTTTCAGTGTCACTAAATCTTGATACGGAGGATTTTGATGGTTCGAAATCATTAGTCCTATATGCCAGGCTTGCGGAATGCATGTAACCGGGTGAACCAGGAAGGATATCTTCCCGCAGCATGTCTGAGCTTTCTTTCATATGATAAATTCGCCTTCCATACCAGTCATTTTCTGTGTTTGTCTGCTTCTGTAATTCCTGCATCCACATTTTCCTCGCCTCCACAATCTGCAAGTGATAGGTTGCACCAATGGAAAGGTTTGTCAAGGAATTACTTTCATAGAGAGGCCAGATAATCCAGATAACATTCGGGTGATACTAACAGAAACATCATCCTAAATAGTACTTCAGAGTAAACTTAGCCATTATATCAGTCAATTAAATAAAAGGTAACAATATCAATTAAAAAGTTACTTTGATGCAATTATACAGCTGATTAGACAAACCAAAAGTAAAATGATTAGTCCAATTTCAAAAATGATTCAACAAAGGGACAACAGCGATCCCAAAAAGTCACAGACAAAAATTCCCTTAATTATTACTTTAGAAGATAATGCGGAAACCACCAGGTTACATAAACAAACAGCGATTCATTGTCATAATTCCATGAGAATTTGAAAAGACGAAGAAGGTGATTTAATAATCTTTGAGTGCACCTTTCTCATTGCGTATCTAAGACCACGTATCATCTTATACCCATTGTCAAACTATTTGAAATATCAGATGTTATAAAAAAAAACTAGAACCTCCATTGCTTCAAGGTTTTGCAAGGAAGTGATCATAAGTTTATAAGACAATAATAATTATGATAAACATTGTGAAGTCTAAAACATCATTTCAATTGTAAAGACATATAAAACAAACTCAGCTTT